TAGTCTACTTGTCCTATTAAGATGATAAAGATGCATACCTTCATTTATTATGCAAATTTGATTCTTTGAGCTTTAAGCCATGTTATAATGCTGGTACCTTCTCAAAAACATACCTGGACTTGTGTTTTGTTTCATTCACACATGTTTGATTAATCCTGCATTATGTCTGTCTACAAAGCTCCAAATGGTCTGTTACACCTTGTGATGTCATGAAGCAATAGTTTTCAAGTTAAAAGCTACATTTTTCCTCTTGTTTAGTAGCGATTGAAATTTCCAGGTCTGAAATTATCCAAATCATTATAGTGAAGGTGCAAGGAGTTTAAAAACACAGTGGAGCACTTCCTGTATTACCATGTGACACCACAAGGTGGAACAGAGTATTTTCTGATTGAGAGATGAACACAGCCTAAATATGCAGTGTGTGTGAGTTGAAACATAAAGAAACAAAATGCAACTCCAGGTATGTTTGTGATGAGAAACCAACCTTGATTTTAATTTTATAATTATCAGCTATTAATAGCTGGCATTTGGAGTACGTCCTTTGGTTAGATGGCTAATTAAAAGTTTAAACTGAGCCAGATTTGTGTGATGCATAAAAGACCTTTCACTAAAGATGTGGATATGATTCTAATTAAAATTCATAGACTTTCATTTTCACAGACGTTCACTTGACTAAGAAAAAAACAGTAGTCAGCTGTGATCTCCCACTCGACAATGGGCCCAGTTCTTTTGATATCGTGAAGAATTGTGGGTAAATAAACGACTTTGATATTTTATAGCCATGACTTAAAAGGCCCATATTACACTATTTTCTGATCTATGTTATAATGTTGTTTCCTCATCAAAAAACATGCCTGGAATTGTGTTTTGTTTCATTCATGCATGTTTACCACACAAACCCTTCATATTAAGTTCTTCTCTCAAACAAAAAACACTCTGTTCCACCTTGTGATGTCATGTGGTAATACAGGAAGTGCTCCACTGTGTTTTTAAACTCCACGCACCTTCATTCAACTCATCGTTGCGGCCCTGGAATTGCCAATCTCTACTGAAGTAAAGGTAAAAGGCACTGTTAACTTGAAAACACAAGGTGGAATAGAACATTTTGAGCTTTGGAGATGTAGACAGACTGATAATAAAGGGTTTCTCAAAACATGTGTGAATGAAACAGAACAAATCCAGGTATGTTTTTGATGAGATAACAACACGGTTTAAAACTCACATGAGTAAATTTTGTGTAATATAGGACATTTAATAACTACATGTTTTCCTTAGATCCAGCCCTTAGATGCAGTCCTTCTTTCTGCTGTAAAATCCAGGAGTGAAGACAATCACGCTGTGGTCTCTACCAGCCCTGTTCTGTACCTGACCCACCCGACCTGTCAGCCCTTAAGGAGAGCCCTCACCATCACGCTCCCCTGTGCCCCGAAACCCAAACAGAAGCCCAGAGCGTTAGACGAGATGGTGCAGTCCTACAGTCAACACATGACCACTGCCTCAAAATGGAATTCAACCAGCAGAATCAGGTCAGCCATTAATGATCTTCTGACTTAGACAAACTTTACGGATCCACAAGGGAAATAATTTGGACACAGTAGCTCACACATCACATTAAATTACAATAACAAAGAGAAAAAATATAAATAAGTGTTAATAATTCTAAATAAGTAGCAAAAACAGCAAGAGAGACAGGTGTCAAATAAGGCATAATTATATAAATGAGTGTGTACAAGTAAAAAATAAAATAGAAATATACAACCGTTAATAAAAATATATCTATATAAGAGGTATATATTAGAATATAAGAGGTTCTAATGAAATAATGTATATGTCTAAAGATTTTAGTTTGTAAATATGTATTTGGAGTGCTGACAAAATGGTTCCACTGTTGGTGATGGTTTTTTTGTATTGTAACCTTTTCACTGCTATCTGTATGCTCTACTCTGTCTGAAGTTCTGTTATTCAAGTTAGACTTTAATCTGATCTTTTTTTTAACACAATCTGACCAGAAAGAACTAATTTAGCTGGAACTACAACAGATGAGGTGATTTGTGCTGTTAAACGAGGCTTTTATTTTTATTTTTTTCAGTTAGTCCTCAAATCTTTTTTGTTGAAAGTCAAAATCCTAAACAGGATCATGGACATTCATATTCTTCACAGGCTCCTGAAAATGTCTTAATCAAAGACAACCAGACAGTCAAAGACAATCTTAAAACATTTTTTGGCTATACATGTTGTGCGATGTCACTATCAAATTATCAGTACAGTTCAGTATTTTAATGATGCAGTGTTATAAATATTAAAAGACATTCATCCTCATTGTACATCTGAGGCTGTTTCAGTGCACTAGTTGTGGTTACATGGACACATCTCATTATTATCCGATTTTTGGACGTTTGAAATTCACTAAATGGCATGCAAACCACACACTCTTATGTGACTGATCAGGGGGACCATGATCAGAAAGAAATGGAGCTGTTTACATTTCATAGTTAAATTTAAAAATGTAATAATAATCAGGTTTTGAGTGCACATATAGCAGTAGCCACAGAAACAACAGAGGCAAAAGTACAGGGTAATGCAAATACATGCAAAGGTACATAATCACCTAAAACTATAATAAATAGGCTAGAGCTGAGGATAATTACATGTTGCAAGTACTGCAATTGTGATTACATTTGCAGTTTTTGTTTTAATAGGATGGGATTCTGCTGAAAGTTGAGAGGACATTGCAAAAAGACATAAGAATCACATTTTAGAATGCTTGTACAGATCTAAACTACAGGATTAGCACTTTAAATTTTTATTTTTTTATGTAGAATAAGACAGGATATTTTGTTGTATGTGGAGGAAAAGATAGTTGCAAAAAAAAATTCTTCCTTTGCAATATTCCAGTTGTGTTCATTCACTATTTCAGCTTTCACTTTTTCAAGAAGCATGCATTCCTTACTTGTAATACCTTTAGCTGGACATTAGGGGGCAATAGCAATCCACAAATAAAGTACATCTCGGCTTGTCATTGAAAGAAAACACATTTTATCATATATTCTAATTTGAAATAATTTGAAAATCTGCTCTTTTTCAGGATGCTCCCGGATTGTGCAAAGTCAACTAAAGAGATTCACAATGAGTTCCTGGTTCTTCTGGGGTTCAGAGATCAACAGTGGAGCTCTTTGGAGAAGATCACCGTCAGGAACCAGCAAAAAGGGCTGGTCTCCTTTGAACTGACTGAGAACTTTGACAGGTTAGAATCCAAACTGTGTCATATTGGTAGAAAATTGCCACCAGTCCAGGAAAACCACATTTCTGTTTTCTTTATTGAATTTTAAAGCAATCAAAACCTGGTCTTTGCCTGGGGGAAAGAAGTAGGATAATATTGTGGCATTGCTGGCGATATTTTTCTTCTTGTGTTGGGGAAAAAGAGATAACTTGGACTTAAATTGCACAACCAAAAAGTGATGGGCAGATTTATTTATTTATTTTTTTTTAAAAGTTGAATAACAAAAGTAGTTAAGGAAAATCCAGCTTTATTAAAGAGGTGCTAGGTAAGCTTATTGTGCTGTAGCTTTGAACCCATGAAAATAATGAGACAAATAGCGATATAAGGCACATACACCCAAACGAAAACTACAAATATGCCGGACAGTACAAGTGTTAATCTTGAAGGATTTCTTGATTTAGTGGTAGTAGAAATTGTTGATGACTGCCTTGGGTAATTTTGCCTGTTGTATTTTCCCACAAACAGAAAAATCTACAAAAATAGCAATATGATGAGTTAAAAAGCTATATTTACAGTAAGTGTGATAGTGATACATTTTAAATAATAATAATATTTTTCTTACCAAATTTCCTTGTCTGCACGCCTCATTGCTGAACTCCATTAGCCATTTTTGCCAGTTTGAGGGATTGAAATATTTAACTGTCCCTCTATCTCCTCCCATTGTCACTGTAAAAATTGTCTGGCTCCTCACGCAGTAAAGGAATATATAAAAAATCCTAAATGGAGCCACAGAACAGAGTAAATTAGCCGAGCAGTTTCAGTCCATTACAAATAATAGACTGCTTAAAGGGACAGTTCAGAATTTTGGACATGGGACCTCATTTCCTAGTGAGCCAGAGAGTTGGAGACGTGTGGAGACACTTTTTAAAATATTCCATCCAGTCCTTGTATTTGCTGAGGTCACTGGTGCTAGGCTAGTGCATGTCAATGGCCATAGTTAGCATGCCACTAAAAACAGTCTTACCCACTCCACAAAGACTGTCGATGTGAATGTCTGTGTCTATTGAATAATGTTTGAAATAAAACTAACCTTGCATAGCATGAATTGTTGCATGTTGAGGGACTATTTTCTCATATCAGTCCACCGCTGCCAAACTTTCTATCAGGAAGTACAACTGCTGCTGCTCAGACATAAACCCTTCAAACCCAAGGTTGGTTTTACTTCTAAAATCATTCTATCGACACAGACATTCACATCGATAGTCTGCCGTTATAATAGGTTTGTTTTGGGTGCTTTGTGGAGTGGGTAAGACTATTTTTAGTGGCATGCTAACTATGGCCATTGACATGCACTAGCCTAGCACCAGCGACCTCTGCAAATACAAGGACTGGATGGAATATTTTACAAAAAAGTGTCTCCACACGTCTCCAGTACTCTGGCTAACCAGGAAATGAAGTCCTATGTCCAAATTCCGAAATGTCCCATTAAAGACCTTAAAATTAGTTATTTTCTGAGCTGTTGTAATGTAGTTTGCTCATCACAGACAGGAGTTTGGTTTTGTTTCATTCACACATGTTTAGCACACAAACCCTGCATAAATCTACACACCTTCAAGTTCAGACGTGCAGTTGAACTAAAGGTAAAAGGAGCTGTTAACTTGAAAACTATCAGTACATGACATCACAAGGTGAAAGAGCATTTTCAGCTTTGGAGAAGTATACAGACTAATAATAAAGGGTCACTCAAACATATGTTATGAGGTAACAACATTATAACATGGCTTAAAGCTCACAAGAGTCAATTCTGTGTAATAAAGGACCTTTAAACTACATACCTTTTCACTGGAACACAGTAAGCTGCAGTTGTGGCATTTTGAGGAGCATGAGATAAAGGTAACAATGCCAATATAACACAAGGTGGTTCCTGGAGTTTCCATTGTTTTTTGAGCAAACTGCAAAGGCTAAAGCAAATAAGTTAGAAATGGAAGTACTGTATAAAATATATTACATTTGTAAGAAAAAAAATTTAAGCTGCGATGCATACCTTTTAGTGAAGTAGAGTCGTTTCCGCTTAGCATTTGTCTTAATAAATAGCACAGTTGGGAATTATTTAAGTGTATATTAAAGCAAGCGGTAATAATATATAGCCTTCTTACAGTTGGTGCTTGGTGTCTGCTCCCTTTCAGTCTAAACAGTGAGTTGTACAGTGCTGTGAGGTTGGCTGGGTGCTGCGCTCTCTGTAATGCCATGTCCAGACACTGACCACTCGCAGCCCCAGTCATCAGGAGACCCCCAATCACGTAAAGCAGCAAAAACACATTGTCCCTGGTCATTTACAGTGTGAATTTTTAAAAGTGCAGTGTATTAATAGTATTAATATAATTTAAAACTTACTTCTGGACAGCTAATTCCAACGGCAGTTTCAACATATGGGGGGTTAAATTGTGAGCAGTTCAGAAATGAATCCTGCAAGCACAATGTGAAAGAATAAATGCTCCAAACAAATACATAAACTGGTCTTTGGACTATTTTAAAAGATACGGTAAATATTATATTATAATTCTATATTTATATTATATTATAAACTACAATGGCTTTGCAACTACATTCAGATGAACTTTTTGTATTCAAAACTGTGTACATTTAATGTTATATAAATTATATTGTTACTTTGCAGATGATGTTCTCAACATTCCCTGGTCGTGTGAAGCTCTGTTCGAGGCTCTGTTACTGCTCTGCTCTGTTAGTGGCTCTGTTGCTCAGTTAGGTTTAGAAAATCAACCCCCTAAATAGGATCATGAAAGCTTGAATTGTTCACAGGCTAATTAAAATTTGTTGTTTAAATCTATTTTGTATTGCCTTTTTAAAAATCTTAAAAGGTCTTTAACAGTGTTTGCTAGTGTGTGTATTCTGTCTTCATGGTAACTGCTGAACATTCTGCCATTCTGATACATGTAGGTCAACCCCAGCGTCAGTGCTAAGTATCAATGATGAATATGGATTTACCCAACTTGTTACCCGGACCCTAACTGGTTTATTTTACAATAGTATCACTTACTTTCACTCATAAATTCCTAAATACTTATTATTATTACACAGAGAAAGTGGACTTTTACTCACCAGTCTGTCTCTCCTGTGTATCCTGTATTATTTGTGATGGTGTTACATGCACAAAACAACATACTCCCATGATCAGACTCTTTCAAAGTAGAGCGCCTGAACCCAGCTTTACTTTACATAAGGGCTTAGGGAGAAGGCAGTATGGATTTAGGGTGTAAATGCCATGAATTCCAGGGTCGAACACTTCTTAAGTCTGAATTAACATAATCGCTCCAAGTGAAAATTTAATCTCCTGAACAATATTGCCCAATAGGAACTTTAATGTCAGCCAGATAAGAAAATTTAATCTCCTGAACAATATTGCCCAATAGGAACTTTAATGTCAGCCAGAATATTTCTTTATCATCCATTGTACCATGTATATTACACATGACTGACTCTTGTGGCTTTTAGCCATGTTATAATGTTGTTCCCTACGCATAAAACATACCTGGAGTTATGTTTTGTTTCATTCACACGTTTGATTAATCGTTTAGTTATTATACATCTACATGTATAATATATATATATATATATATATATATATATATATATATATATATATATATATATATATATATATATATATATAATATATATATATATATATAATATATATATATATATATTATATATATATATATATAGCTCAAAATTATCTGTTCCACCTTGTGATGTCATGAAGTGGTAGTGTGTGAATAAAAGAAAACACAATGAAGAAACATAGAAAATAGCATATTATGGGCTCTTTAAGCTTGAAAAAACTATTCTTAACAGTTCCTCTTTCTTGCAGGCTCCTCGTAGTTCGTCTCCTCTCAACACTAAGCCCTTGTCACCTTGTCTCGTTGGTTGAAGATCTAGAGGAGGCTGTGAATTGCCACACAGTTGCCATCGTGATCCTTAGGCAAAAGGAAGACCCCCACACCATGATGGTTGCCGTGATGCTGAGTAAAGACCTGACCTGGGAACTGTCCAAGCTGAAGGCCCAGGGATTCAGCAGCACCATGGACAGCTCACTGGAGATAACAATGTGTGAAGGAGACCGACTGCTGCTGCGCTTCAGTGGGAACATCACCTCAGAGAGTAAGATACAGAGATATTTACAAAGTATAGAAAAAGTGTGTAATATATTTCATTAGAATATAAAGAAGACACAGAACTGATTACTTTACCCAGTAGTTGCAACTGTATGTCCACATTGTAAAGTTTTATTATCCAACCACAGACTGCTTTATCCCTAATCAAGATCCAAGCTCCAAATTCCTCCCTATAACTATTCGTCAAAATTCTATTAAAAAAACACAGTGCTCTGTTCCATCTTGTGATGTCATGGAGCGGTATTTTTTAAATGAACAGCAACATTTTACTAGCCAGGCTTGCGCCACCTAGTGCCTCCGCTCAATTTCATTTCTCTCCAGCAACTAGGTCAGGAATCAGAATACACTAGACGGTTTGCAAGAACCCCAGAAATTGTAGACCTGCCAATCAGTGAAGAGCTGTGAAGCGCCTGTCTGGATCCCTTTTTGTGGCACAGCACAACAGTAAACAAAGAGGTCGAGATGGATGTAGACAAAGCCATACATTCTATGTTGGCAACGATTCCTAAGATTGAGGATTTAAAGCCGGAACAAGAGAATGTTTGGTGAACATTATCAAGGGGAAAGACACTATTGCCCTTCTTCCTACGGGATTTGGGAAAAGCTTTATATTATTAGTGTCGTTAGCAGCGCATTATATATGTCACCACCAATTACCAGCGATTGGTTAAATGAAAAATTACCCGCTTACCGTAGAGCGAACAAATCCTAATGCTGCGAGGTCAGACGGTTTCCACAAAGTGAAATGATGAATGATGAATCAGGCTAACATTTTACCTCTTGTTTGGCTGAAATTGGAAATTCAAGGACTGAAATGATCCAAATGATCCTAGTGAAGGTGTATGGAGCTTAAAAACATAGCGGAGCACTTCCTGTATTGCTAAATAACATCACAAGCTGGAACAAACTCCATTTGAGAGGTAAGTCTGTCTAAATATGCAGGGGTTGTGTGTTAAACATGTGTGAATGAAACAAATCATAACACCAGGTATGTTTGTGATGAGGAAACATTATCACATAGACCATAAAATAGCGTAATATGAACCTTTTAAAATATTGACTCCTCAATATCCGCTGTGTTGATGATGTAACTAACACTAGCTATTGTTACAGGGGCTCTTAACTCCCAGAATGAACACAAACCTGAGTGGATTGCCTTTCACAGCCAGCGCACCAATCACCTCCGAGTACGCCTTTGTGTTGTGGACCCGTTCGGGAACCACAGCTCCACCCACTACAAGGGCACGGCCATGTTCCATAAGGTCTGCAGGGGTCAGCTGGATGGGTCATGTGACTGTCCAGGAACTGTGAACATGAAGCTGCTAGGAGAGCCTATCTGTAAACTACCTCTCACACTACCCAAGGTACCACAGTTCACCTTTTCTTCAATCGATGGTCAAATTCGACCGAGATTAACTAGAATTTTTGATGTTATTTCAGAAAGCAAAGAATATTAGTCAGCCGAATGTGACTCAGGTGAAGATTTGTGAAGATACAAGTGAGTTTTATACACAGAGACTCCAGTACTTTTATCTTTTCCTTATTTACACAGATACTGAGACATTTTAATGAACTCTCAACTATCAAAAATATGAATCGATGCTAAAACCACTATCGAAACTAGATACTGATTTGAGTAGCTGCATATTAACCTTTCCTGAATAGCTTTAGAATGATCATGAGCAAGTATAAGAGCACATAGACTAGTATACACCCATGGACCACCCCTCTGAACGACTTTGGTAATATAAAAGTACTATAATGTAACAATAAAAATCACATTCTAGTCTTTTTTATTATCATTGTGGTATCAGAATCGGTATTGATTAGTGAGTAAATTCCTTAGTATCAAGACTGAAACTAGTATTGAAACTAGATACTTGTTTGAATAGGTATTGATAATAAAAATTCACATTCCGGGACATAAATGAACCTTTCCTGAATAGCTTTAGAATGATCTTGAGCTGTATCAGAACAAGTATGAGACTGTATAGACCAGTATACGCCCATGGACTACTATGGAACCTACCTGGATGACTGAAGAATTACACAGATTTAAGACCACATGGTAATATAAAATAAATTACTATGTTTTAATGTTGAAAACCACATTCTGTTTTCTTAAAAAAGAGTGATTTTTATTATCATCCTGGTATCGGAACCAGTATTGAGTATCAAGTCTGTTCCTTAGTATCGAAAATGAGTTTGAAATTTTAATATCATGACAACACTACTTCTATCTACTGATACATCTCCCCATCTCTTCCAGCTCACTCCCTGTCTGACTCCCTCCTGCTCTGGATCTCGGAGCAGCTGTCAGCGGAGGAGTTGTCCCGGCTGGTTCTCTCCCTGCGTCTGCGTCGGAGCGCTGCCCAGCTCGTGAAGCTCCGAGCGGGCAACAGTCTGTCTGGACAGGCCCTCCACCTCCTGCTCATGTGGAGGAGAGCTCTGCCCGCCTCGCCGCACCAGTCCAACGCCAATCATCTAGCCCAGTGCTTAGCCAAGAGCGGCAGACCAGACCTGGCTCGAGAACTTCTGATCAGACAGACTCCAATCTCCAGCCAGACCTCAGGGGAAGTTTAGGACACAGGAAGGAAGATGGGATGTGTGATGCTAACTGAAGGTACTACTCGATCTGAAGCTCAATGACTCAAATTAGACTTTAATCAGAGGTTTGGTTTAACACAATCTGACCATGAAGAACTGACTTAGCTGGAACTACAAGAAGTTTTTTGTTTTTTTTCTTGAGTTTTCAAACAGTCTTTGACAGTGTTTGCTAATGTGTGAATTGTTTCTCCATGGTAACTTTAGTACATTTCATCATGGAGATACAGGTAGAACACCCCCAGCGTGATGTCAATGCAAAATATGAATAAATACATGAAGTAAGGGCAGTGCTATTACAGATCCACAAGGGGTCAGTAGTGGACTATGGGAGTGTACAATTGTAAGCGTGAGTAGTTTTATACATTTTTCTCAATAAACTAATGTTATTCAAAGTTTATATTACCAGTATGAACATGCATGTTCTCTCAGGTCATGTTGAGGAAGCATTATATATTTGGGATTTTCTAGGTAACTAGAAACTTGCCCAATTAAGTATTATATCCAATAATAACTAAAATACTGAGTATGGAGTAGTTTGTACTAAAGATTTGACATTACAAGGGGACAATATGTAACATAAATAAAAGTTTAATTATACTATAACAATGTTAAGTTATATCTCAGTCCCATTCATGAGTCTGTTATATAACCTATTCTTGTAAACTGTAAAATGTATAAGAGAAGAAGTAGTTCAAATACACTCAACACAAATGTTTTCTTTTTCTTTTTGTTTTGTTTGTGAACTCAATGTTCGTTGCCTTCTGTTAGGCATCAGTGTATGTAGATCAGTCATCTGACCTTTATATCAGGCTGTAACAGAGTTACTAAAATATTACAATTCCTAATCACAGCAGCAGTTGCCTTACAGGGCTTCACAGAATTGTAAAGCCCTAGCCTGCAGAAAGTCAAACAATAAAAGATCCCCATCACAACAAAATGAATCTTTTGTTCATATAAAATAAAGTACAAATGTATTATTATATTTATTTATTTCATTTTTATTTTGTCATTCACATTAGTCAGTATTGTGTAAGATTAATATAAGTTGTTACACTGTAATATTATATCTGGTATCTGGACTGCCCTCGGGATCAGGAGTGGCCTGACGATCTGGACTGGCCGGGGTTCCTCTTGAACCTGGACTGGCCTGGCCTGGGCTCCTCTTGGATCTGCACCGGCATTCTGTGGGAATGGCCTTAGATTTTGTGGGAACGGGCCTTGTCTGAGACTTTGTGGGTACTGGTTTTGCCTGGGTCTCTGTGGGAACTGACCTGGTCTGAGGTTCTCCTGGATATGGACTGACCTGTGATTTTGATGGAACTGGACTGGCCTGGGTCTCTCTGGGAATTGACCTTGTCAGGCACTGTGTGAGTACCGGATTGGCCTTTGATTCAGTGGGAACTGGTTTGGCCAGACAGATCGATACTCGACAAAATCACTGGCCAGTTCAGATCCAGGAGAGCACCAGGCCAAACTAGAGATGTAGACAAACCAACAATAAATGGTTACTCAGACATGTGTGAATGAAACAAAACACAACTCTGGGTTATGTATTTGATGAGGTAACAACATTATAACATGGCTTAAAGCTCACAAAAGCCTAGTTTTATAAGCCTATCATTATTTAAAATCAGTGTGCATCTCAGTGTGTAGAGTTAGTCTAATCCATGGGTTTACAGAAGAATTTAAAGGTCTATAGCTGTTGAAACTGGAAAACTACTGCTTCATGACATCACAAGGTGGAGCAGGGCAGTTTGAGATTTGTAGATGTCAACAGAGTAATAAGAAAGGATTACTCAACCATGTGTAAATGAAAACACAACTCCAGGTACATTTTTGGCAAGGTAACGAATGGCATTATAATATGGCTTAAAGCTCACAAGAGTCAATGTTGTCTTATTTAGGATCTTTAAAAAACTATAAACATGTAATGTTTTCACTCAGAGTCATTCTGTTCATGTCTCAGTTATATAGGCTATTCTGAACTGTAAAAAGTAGTATAAGAAGTAGCTTAAATGCACTCAACACAAATATCACCATGTATTGTTTTTCTTTTGTTTGTGAACTCAGTATTCCTTGCCTTCTGTCATCTGACCATTACATCAGGCTGTAACAGAGTAACTAAAATCCTGAAATTCCTAATCACAACAGTGATTGCCTTACAGGGCTTCACAGAATTGCAGATTTGGCCAACAGACCTGTAGAAAGTCCAAAAAATAAAAACAGGTTTACAGAAAAAATATATAGGACCTTTAAATTCTTCTGTAAACCCATGGATTAGACTAACTCCACACACTTAGATGCACACTGATTTTAAATAATGATAGGCTTATAAAACTAGACTTTTGTGAGCTTTAAGCCATGTTATAATGTTGTTACCTCATCAAATACATAACCCAGAGTTGTGTTTTGTTTCATTTGCACATGTTTGCGTAACCATTTATTGTTAGTCTGTCTACATCTCCAAAGCTCAAAATGCTCTGTTCAACCTTGTGTCAATTCGAGTTATTATTCAAATGACTCTAGTGAAAGTGTATGGAGTTTAAAAACACAGTGGAGCACTTCCTGTATTACCACATTGTCACAAGATGGAACAGACTGGAGAATGCTTGCGAGTAAAAACGACAAAATATTTTATCAGAAGTGCCTTTCGTTTAGACAGTGACAGCATTTTTGGGGCTTAAAAAGGCAAAAATCTGAGACCACCCTTCAGAGTGGAAAAGCTGAATACGCTCTGCCGTAGCATTTCCATCTACACTGCCCAAGACGTAAAACTCTGGTCAGATCTGCTCACGCTGAGTACGCGTTTATGTCACATACATACAGTACACACAAACAAACATGTCGGATAATTTCCATGCGTTGCACCTTCAAGTTGCTCTGGCAGTTAAACTTACAGGAGGCTCCCAACAAATGTACAGAATATGCAGAGATGCTATTAATGAACAAAGAAGGATCTGCAATTACCTCTGTCAAATTCTGGATGCATGATGATGGACGAGACCTGGGAGAACCGGTCGATGGTGGGTCAACTTTGTGGAAGGAGTAGCTGATGAAAATGTGTGCGGTGAAAACTTCTGTATGTCCAAAGATGCCCTTGTTGCTTTAAGTACAAGCATACTCAATCGAATTCCACACATTCCTTTTGCATCACCGTATACATGCAGATTTCCTCCGAAAACACTTGTTTGAACGCTGAATAACTGTTGATGCGACATCAGACCGTCATCATATAAATGTAGCCTAAATATGCAGGGTTTGTGTGTTAAACATATGAATGAAACAAAACACAACTCCATATGTTTGGGATGAGGAAGCAACATTATAACATAGATCAGAATGGCGTAATATGGGCCCTTTAAAGTAATTCTAACTTTGCATTGATATAATTTAGTATTACCTCTAACTGTAGTTATGATGAGTATTATTAGAATTTGAATTTTGTGAAAGTAAAGTTCACCACCTGACAGACCTGCCGTTTCAAGCCACTCTCCACCATTCATATTTTCCCTGTGCCTTTTCGCTCCCGTCCTCCTGCTGTGTGACATTCTGAGCACCCTTAGTCAGGCTGTACTGTGTGTGGTGTGTGTGTGTGTGTGTGTGTCTGTATATGTGTGCAGCGCCCCCCATGGAGCCCTCCTGCGTTGAGAGCGGGACGCCAGTTAATGAGGCAAGAAAGTGTACCAGGTAACGCATTAAATAAGACCATGCGTCACTCAAATCTTTTCTGCGGCAAGCTTTCTCATTGTCCTTCAACCCACACTTGTACTTAATAAAATCTGTCCATTTCTCCGCCGTGTCAGTCGCAGTTTTGAACCTGAAGAGGGCACCAAAGGGGGACGTCATTAGTGTAGCATCAAGCCATCAAACACACACTCACACTAACGGTAAATGTCACCCAAAGATCTCCCGTAGAGCCAGGAAATCGTTTCTTCTCTTTTTTTTTTATCTTCGCCCCTCTACATTATTGAAAAGGCCACGCAGCAAAGCACTCTGGGAGGTCGTCCGTAAGGGAAGGGGGTTGATGAGGCAGAGGTATCCCACGTAGAGGCAAAATTGATTAAAAGCTTTCGTATATATTCCATTCTTCACTTCGTCAGCTCGAAGTTGCTGCTAAGACAGAGATTCTTGATCACTGAGCTGGCGCTGTTGAAATATTAAAATGTCATTAAAGGTCCTATGTTACACAAAATGCATTCTTGTGAGCTTGAAGTCATGTTGTAATACTGTTACCTCCTCAAAAACATACCTGGAGTTGTGTTTGTTTCATCCACACATGTTTGAGTAATTTTGGTTTATCAGTCTGTCTACATCTCCAAAACTAAAAATGCTCTATTCCACCTTGTGATGTCATGTAGTGGTAGTTTTCAGATGAACAGAGATTGGCAATTCCAGGTCTGAAATCATCCAAATTGTTCTAGTGAAAATATATGGAATTTAAACCTGCACTGGGCAACTTTTCTTGTGGAGGGTCCATCAGCAGCTTGTCTCCACGGACATGTTATTGTTTTGCCTGGAATGTTCCACAGTATGACATTAAACATTTCCATTTAGCACTTATTCATTTCGGGAGTTTCGATTGCTTAAATATACAATAATTCCTCGCTGTGAATAGGTGCGACTCCGCAGATCTGACTTGTATTGTAGGGTAGCTCTATAACGTGCTTGTCTGACTTGAGATTAAAGTGAAGTGCCCATCTCATGCAAAATCAACTTTTCAGAGCTTTCTACCTTCTAAGAGTGATGTGTGGGCCTTGTATATGTAGCCGAAGTGGTTTTTAGATTGATTTGGCATTTTTTTTAACAAATTGCAGCGTATTTCTGCCACCCTCCTATGTGACAACGAACTAAAGCTGCTACAACGATGACGCGGCAACTACACCTATGACATGTTTGACATAACAGAAAGCGCTTCGCACACTTTGGAAAAGGATGCTGTTTCCACAATACCAGGGTCCAGTGATGGCAATCCTACATCTGTAAGTTTAGTATAGTCTAGTATACCGCTGAAGATAACGAAAAGCAAGCTGCAGCGTTTATTTTTTTAAATTATCCGACATATAATTTCAATCTGCATGTCATCTCCCTGTTTTAGTTTGACAAATGTTACGTAGTCCTACAATATTACATTGATACTAACAACATACGTAGGGCATCATTTTATTCTAGTGAGTTGTCTTCAGTGCTTCTGCACGATAATAAAATGGCAATTACACCTTACACCTAAGTCATTACAACCACTGATGTTTAGTGGTAGCCTGTACAGATTATGACGAGCTAATTTGATCTAACATTATTGTAGGATTCAAGTTTGCCCAATTATGCCTTCTGCCTCCTCCTCCCTCCCTGGGATGGGCGGAGGAAGGGCGGCTCACTCAAAGCCTACATCACCTTTGGAGGGCAGAGCCTGTGCTTTCTTAGTACGGGCGGGGGGATGAGCAACAGCTGACCTTTTATAGATTTCATAACTATTGTGTAATGGATGTTCCAAAACCCAAACTGTTCTTGTATATGTGCAGAAGATACAATGTGTAAAGAGTTATTTTGCATGAGATGGGCCCTTTAATAAATCAAATCTATACTGTAAACATTCTAGACAAAGCAAAATAACATTTCCATGGAGACAAGCAGGTGGCAGACCCTCCACTAGAAATGTTACACAGTGCACCTCTGACAGTTGAGTTCTGTAGAAATTGACAATTCCAGGTATGAAATCATCCAAATGATTCTATTGAAGGTGCATGGAGTTTAAAACACAGTGGAGCACTTCCTGTATCACTGCATGACATCACAAGGTGGAACAGAGTGTTTTTAGTTTGATAGATTAACTTAAACTTAACTAAATATGCAGGATTTATGTGTTAAACAGATGTAAATTAAAGAAAACACAACTCCAGGTATGTTTTTGATGAGCAAGAA